TTGCCCATTTTTATACTTAGCAACATAAAATGAATAAAATCGAACGCTTTCGCAAGGACGCGTAATCTTTTCCGCTCGAAATAAGACTTCCTTTGTCTCGGGCGCTTTGCTCCAAAAATGTGCCGGAATTGCTGGCAGTGATATTTTTCAGAAAAACGCTGTTCAACTTTATTTTAGAACGTCCGAAGAATATTTAGTAATTTTTAATTTAATTTAATTATCAATCGAGTCGATTCCAGTGAAGATTAACGATATAAAAATTCCGGCAAACTCGCGCAAAAGATATTTTTGTTTCGATAATTCCGTATCCAAACAGAATACAATGGACGATTCGCAATGCTAATTTTATAATAAATCGCGTCAAAGAACACGAGGGATATATTTATTTAAGAATTGCGAAGAATATCATTAATAGTAAATTTATCTCAGGCGCCTCGCTCCAAAAATGTGCCGGAGTTGCTGGTAGGTAGTACACGAGAAACGCGTGGAGCGCTAAGGGTTAATTCTTGCCATGAACACATTATCGCGCACCACTAAAGTGTTCGATCCTTCGGTAATTGTAATAAGCCAGGACCCGATCGACCGATATTACGAAAATCTTCGAGCCCGCTGCTTCGAACAGCGAACAATCAATTTTTGTCCAGAATGCAGGATCGGGGATCATTCTCGGATGAATGCGGTTATAGTCCACGAATTAATTTGCACGGCCAATGCGAAATGGAGTGAGAATCGACAGCTTTCGCTGGCAGCTGGAAATTGATCAGATGCAGAAGTCGCGCGAGTCGCGGGACAGGATCGTGGAACGTGGTTGAACGTCGATTCGTTTCCGGTTCGGTCTCGTCCGAAAGCAACTCAACTCGTATATACACAGAGAGAAGAAGAGACACAGCCAAGCACCGGTGAATACAACATTGTCGTGCAGGCGGCGGGATGCGGCAGCCGAGAGTCTAGAATCGCGTCTTCGCGCGACGATGAGAGGCTTTCGACGCGGATGCGCAGCTGAAATGCGATTCTGCATGCTCTATCGATGAGGATTCGCGTGTGTGCACGCCCGCGGCCGTGTTCCGCGAAAAGAAAACCGCGGCGGAGGAGGTCTCTCGCGCTCCGCGAAAGAGACGTTGATTAAGTAGCTCTTTCGGTTTGCCACCTTTTTCTCCTTTTCCTGTCGGACAAGGTGTCACCGCAGCCGCGAGCTACTTTTTGTTTCCCTCCGCGTAAGGGAGCTCTATTTTTCGGCGAGAGATTGCTAGTTCTTCTTCGGCTCGTGCTACTTTCTTCGCGAGAGAGACGCGTCTTGCCGACACGAGATGCGAATAGATAGGTTCTTCGGTGATCGAAAGAACTGCTTTGGGATCGACGTTGTTTCGGCTACCTTTTTTTTCTTTCACGAAAGAGCTACCGTTGGTCTCAACAAAGGAAACAGTTCTTCTTTGTTTATCCTTTTTTTTATATTTCTCCATTTTCTCCTTTTCCTGCAAGAAAAAGATCTTTCTCCAAGCAAGAATAATTATTTTAATCATCTTTTTTTAGTAGCTTTTTTCTCCGAAAGAGCTATGTATATACCGCGTTTTCTCCACGAGAGACCTACGAATTTTCCCCGTGTATAACAATTGTCCCTATTTTTCGTGGAAGATATCGTACTATTTTTTTTTCTGCAGTAAAGGGAAGCTGTTTTCTCCGCAAGAGAACTTCGTTTTCCGTACAAGACAGTTATTACGTTCTCCCACGGAAACACGAGGCGCTTACATTTGCCACGAATAAACGAGCCTGATCTTCGCAGAAGAGCAAATATTATACTCTCTACTTCTGAAAATAGTTCCTCCTTTTTTCCATAATAGACACTTACTACATTTTTCTCTGCCGTGAAACAGCAGCTGATTTTTTCCCGTCGCTTTACCTACTGTCTTTTCCTCACAGTGTCTTTTACAACAGTCCATGTCGTTGTTTAACGATATTCTCGATTACCAGCTCACTTTATGAGAAAGAAATTCTCTCTCTCTCTCTCTCTCTTTCCACGAGAGAGCTACTCTGCAAGCTCGAACAGTAGCTCTCTCGCGGGGAATGTACCAATTATTTCATTCACAGCCATCAACGAAGCTATTACAGTAATGTCTCCCTAATTGACGCTCGAGTTGTCCACAAAAGTGGACAATTTGGGAACAGGAGATACGATTGTTCGACCCTTGCAGCTCGTTTTTATAGTTGTTGACAATCGATAACCATGAAAAACGAGCCGAAAGGCTCGAACAATCGCATCTCCTCTTCCCAAATTGTCCACTTTTGTGGACAATTCGAGCGTCAATTAGGGAGACATTACTGTACCCTCCACAAAAAAAGATTAACCATCGTTGAAGTATAGTTGTTAAATAAATTCTCTCAAGTGCGCGCGGGAATTTCAAAGGTTCTGAAAAATGTTGCGAGCGCTTAAATTTTGCGGATCATGCGCGCGCGAGCTCTCGTACGAACGCTCGTGCGGATTAATGCGGGGGCGCAGCACGTGCTCTATCTAGGCGCTATCTACTGAAAGATAAAGGCCAGCGTGAACATCTTCAAGCGAGCCGTGAGAACGAGGACTCGATCAAAATTCTTCCACGTCTTGGAACCGCATTTTCGATCATTGTGATCATTGGATCTTCCGACGAGACGCGATATTTTTCTATTCCCTTCTTCATTTCTTTCTTTCTCTCTCTCTCTCCCTCTCTCTCTCCCTCTCTCTCTCTCTCTCTCTCTCTCTCTCTCTCACTTGCTCTCGCTGAAACTCGCGAGTCCTCCCGGCAAATATAAATCGACAACATACAAAACCTATCTACAAAAGAACAATCGATGCAACCTACGTATAGCCTGCATGATGGGATGCATTCGCGCCGCGGACATTCCGATGAGATTCGGCGCAGAACTCGGAACGGATGCATGATGGGACGAGATTGGCTCTCGAGGATACATTCGAATATTTTGGGCTTGGCTCGACCTGGACCAGTGATCGCGGCAATATGTTCGCGATGGAAAATATGTTTCGGATATTCCGGACTAGTATAGTAAAAGCAATTCTTTCTTTTTGCATCACTTTTCCGAGGCTCGTTTAACACGCATAACCATGCATTTTTTACGATCCAGCTGGCATCTGCCATTCGAAGTTTGCATTTATGGTCTTCGATTCTAATCGTGACCACTGTCAAGTCACATACAAGCATGCGATCTGGTGACAATTCTTTCAATCTTCCTTGTATCTTGCAGATCGAATATGCGATATGCTCAAGTGAAGTCAATGTGCTAATCATTGGACAACAGTATTGACTCAAATCATCAAAATCGTCGATTAATTACGAAATTTCTAGCGACGGACTTAAATTAAATGCGAAAAGAAAGATCAATGAATATAACCGCTGTAACAATAAATATAACCGTTTCGCTCCCATGGTATGTCGCGACACCGATACTGCACGTACAAGGTCACAGACGAGATATTTCGCGACGTAATGCCGTTTGTGCGGTGCCACGGACGTGTTATTCCGCGATGCAATACCGTTCGCGCGGTGCCACAGGCGAGTAAACACGCTTTAATCCGAGAGCTGTAATTCGGAGAAATTTGGTTCCATTGACGCAACATAGAAGCAAGCTAAGTTGCCACGGACAGAGCAAAACCAGAAGCGCGTGTTTACTCGACTGCGGCACCGCGCGAGCGGCATTACGTCGCGGGTAACGCGTCCGTGGCACCGCACGAGCGGCATTGCGTCGCGGGATAAAGCGTCCGTGGCACCGCACGAACGGTACTGTGTCGCGGGATAACGCGTCCGTGGCACCGCACGAGCGGCATTGCATCGCAAAATAACGCGTCCGTGGCACCGCACAAGCGGAATTATGTCGCGAGATATCTCATCTATGACCTTGTACGAACAATATCGCTGTCGCGACATAACAGATCAGCGAAAGCGAAACGGTTAATTTAAGTTTAAGTATAAATTTCGAATTATACCAGATTTTTAATAAAAATTTAAATTAGTATGAATCTTTAACTAAATTCTAAACAGAAATTATAAATTTGAATATGTTTCCATTAATAAATCCGGTTAAAGCACCAATAAACGTGAGTTTAAAAAATCTGCAAATCGATTGCAAACTTGAATTAACAGTTGCTGCTTATTAGAAGCAACGGAGAGATCGTCGCCTCGAGTGGAAGTATCTTTAAAAGTCCATTGAAAATAATCGTCAAAGAGCACTTCACACGGTGAAAATAAATAGACATCCTCGACGGTTGATTCTGCCGCGAAAATTCATCGTTTGGAGACGGTGGTTACGCGAGCACACCTGTCGATCTCGGCCAGTAAAAATCGAGAGGCAAGAAAGAGGGTGAAGTACCGAATGATCGGTCCCGCGATCGATCCAGATGAGCCAATCCCGGCAAACGATCAACCGCAGCAAGCAGACATGCGTTTCCCGATCGTTCGAGCGTTCGCGGCATTCGTAGGATCGTTAGCGAGGGCAGGCGTGTGTGAACTAGCGATCCCTGAAAGCGAAAGTAACGCGAAGGGTTAATTGGTTCGGAAGGGTGGGGATGGTTTCGACGGCGCGCGTCACGGAAAAAAGGGGGGTGGGGGTTGGAGGCGGGAGAGAGAAAACCGGTTCGGCGGTGGCCAGAGGCGGAGGAATGGGGGAAAAACGAAGAAGAAGACGACGAAGAGAGAAACGGAAAATGGAGCAAGGCCGGCAAAAAATTCGCGGAGGGGCGGAGGGATGGAGCCAGCGAAATAAAAATATATATAAAGTTATATATGTATATATATCTATGTATGTATGTTTGTACGTACGTATGCCTGTACATATCTATGTATGTATGTTTGTACGTACGTACGTATGTATGTATGTATGTATGTATGTATGTATGTATGTATGTATGTACGTATAATGCAGGTATTTATGTATATCTGTGTATGTATATGTACCAGCGAAATCAAAACCGTAACAATCTAGAGATGTTGCGTAGCTCCGATCGTTCGTCTTACCTTCGGTGTTCTCATCCTCGGTCGACTTGGCCGATTGTAGCTTCGCGCTCGCTTGCGTCGCTGCAATCAAAATTCGCAGCTGGCACCGTGTCTCTTTCTTTTCGTTCTTTTCTCTAGCTTGTCTCCCCGTGTTTTTCCCTAATCTTCTCCCCTCTCTCTCTCACACACTCTCTCTCTCTCTTTTGCTCTCTCTATGTTCCTTGCACACGTACAAGCACGCTCACGCTCGCTACGCTCTGCGTTCGGCGGTCGCCATTTTGTCGGCGCCGCGGTGTCACGGATCGCCAATCTAGCTGATTCGTCATAGTCGTCGGTTCGATGAACGTCGCCGAAATCTTTCAATTTGTGAATAATTTCACGTGAATATACTGTTTAAATGAACAGTGAGAACAATTTATCGAACTCTGTCGAATTATTCTGACTTTAGGTTATTTATTAGGTTAGGGTAGTGAAGCTGGTTATTGTGGGGTGACCAATCGCTGCTCTTTTATTTTGTTTGTTTCTCATTAAATGAATTGAATACGTCTTATTCGATGTGAATAGAAAGTTAATTACACTCAAAAACAAGCTACTTGCTATCGCAATAATATAAAAATTTACAGAAAAGTCGTACGCTTGTTTACATAGAGAAACGAAAGCATGACCGACTATCGTACTATCAAGTATTTATTTATGCCACTTCTATGAAGTCTGATATTTAGATAGATTTAACCAGTCGGCTGTCTTTGACGAGTATACTCGTCCTAACATAAAATGCTGTCGTTTCAAGATGACAAGTATACTCGTCAAAAATAGCTACAGTAATGTCTCTCTAATCGACGCTCAGATTGTCCACAATAATGGACAATTTATGAAGAGGCGATACGATTATTCGAGCCTTGCAGCTCGTTTTTATAATTGCTGACAATTCGTAATTATAAAAACAAACCGCTAGGCTCGAATAATCCACTTCGAATTGTCCACTTTTGTGGACAATCTGAGCGTCGATTAGAGAGACATTACTGTAGCTGGTTAAGAAGGATATATACGTTGATATTCCTTAATCAATTATTATATATATTTAAATTTTTAATACAATTTAAATAATTTTTTATATTGTTGTATTTGAGCCGTTTATTTTGAAAATGGCATAAGTCACTTTGTTTTTAAGTTGATATATTTAAGGGTTTGCTAACTTTAATATGGATGCTAACTTTCGAGAAGATTTACTTGTATTTGTTATCTCAGGATACTGATATATTTTTCTCAGTATAAATAATTTCATATAAACATTAAAAAATCACCACTTTTCATTCCGGTAAAGTGACTTATGCCACTTTCAAAATAAACGGCTCACTTAATCAAAATATGAAGAAAATCAAGCGTATACGGTATAATTACGGTAAGTTACACACTTTGCGAAGAGAATGGAACAGCCAACTGGTTAACTAAAAGTGGCTCAGAATTGTCTAATTATGAAAAGGAAATCGAGTTTCATTCGGAGTCTAAGTGCATCGGCTGACAAATGAAGCAGAATTGCTCGCTTCGGGTTCGGCCCGGCTAGATTGGCGACCCGTCGCATCGTGCGGCCCGATTTCGTTAAATCGACCCGAAATTACGGACGATTCACGTTCGCCGGCACGGTCAGCTCGTTGCCAAATCGAACGCGCAATCGTTCGCCATGTTTTCCGCCTTTCCTGCGATTTTTTGTTCGGCTCTCGTTTCGCCACGGCTATATCGGTACCCGATAACTCGTCGTCCCGACCCGCTAATTATCCTCGCGGCGGTCTCGTTACGCGCACGCCAGGATCCGGAATCCCGGGGATCCAACGTGGGACGATCGACGTTGTTTTCCATCGATCTCCACGGACTGTGTTAATCTGCTAGGCGAAAACTGTTGCGAGGCGAAACGGCGCGCCGCGCCGCGCCGCTTTTGCTTCGAGGAGCTTGAATTCTACTCGTTGGTTGATAGAAAGCTACGTAGAATCGTGAGTTTCGAGATGAGAGGGACTCATTTGGGGGATTGATAGCAATCTGAAGACTGGAGCTATTGTCTGGCAAAGCGGAGTAGGAGTATCTACAGCGTTTCGCGAACGCAGTCAAGCCGCGTTTCTAAGTAGCACGAGAAATGGACCGAAGGTAACAACGTGCCTGCCGAGAAGAATTGGAAATAGTTGAACAAAATTGCTCGATGAATTAAATTAGAAATATTGAAACTTTGAACTTTGATTGTATTTTTCTTCTTTCTTTTTTTTTTGGACACAGTATGTGATCCATTTGATTTGGTTTCTATTTGATTTCTAATTTATGTATCCAATTCTAATGCAAATTACTTTATTTCTTGCACGATGCTTTCATTCTTTCTAATTTATGTACTTCTTAATTATTCTAGGTATCCAATGGATGCGTCTAACGCGATAAATGTTAATCTTCTAACGTGCTTTCTTTTCTAATTCTGTTATCGTTTGCACGATACTCTCATTATTTTGGATTTATGCACCTTCGTTTTAGATGACTGATTAATAATAATTGAAACTGGTTAATCGATTTGAAGCTCGTGGCGAGACAGGTGCACCACAGCTGGGGAAAGGGGTGAAAGTCTACTCAACTTTGCCGGACGGAATAAATGAATATCAATGCAACATTGAGCCGCAATATCTCGACATGAAGAATCACATGACTTATGGCATTTTGTCTTACAGCCTCAGAAACAAGGTGAACATTCGAGGCCCGCTAGGTCGGGTCATCTAGGCGAGAGACATCTACTAATTGTTTAAGCGTAGGACGTTCAAACAGACATCGGTATTTATAAAGAAAATCAGAGAAAGGAAATAGTAAAGTTTCACAACATCGACACTGAGTGTATGTATGTGTGTGTGTTAGTGTGGCTGGGGGTGCGGACGTTTGAAAATGTTTAAAGAAGTTCAAACGATATTATAAAAGTGTTAGTTATTCGCAGATTATGGATCTCTGTACAGATTGATGTTTTTAAAGGTTAGCCGATCGGAGAAATAATGAAATAAAAATTTGGTTATCTTTATCAATGTATTCGGTAGTTAAGAAATATGAACATTATATTCAAGATTTCAATAAATCAAAATTTTAATAAAGAGAGAGAGAGAGAGAGAGCTGTCTCTTATACACATCTAGATGTGTATAAGAGACAGGTTTAGAGTTTGCTAAATTCTCTCTCTCTCCCTCTCTCTCTCTCTCTTTATTAAAATTTTGATTTATTGAAATCTTGAATATAATGTAATTTATTATATCTGTCTCTTATACACATCTAGATGTGTATAAGAGACAGATATAATAAATTACATTATATTCAAGATTTCAATAAATCAAAATTTTAATAAAAGAGAGAGAGAATTTTGCAAACTCTAAACAGTATACAATAATATACTAGTACATTATATAACAGTATATAATAAATTACATTATATTCAAGATTTCAATAAATCAAAATTTTAATAAAAGAGAGAGAGAATTTTGCAAACTCTAAACAGTATACAATAATATACTAGTACATTATATAACAGTATATAATAAATTACATTATATTCAAGATTTCAATAAATCAAAATTTTAATAAAGAGAGAGAGAGAGAGAGAGAGAGAGAGAATTTAGCAAACTCTAAACAGTATACAATAATATACTAGTACATTATGTAACAGTATATAATAAATTACATTATATTCAAGATTTCAATAAATCAAAATTTTAATAAAAGAGAGAGAGAATTTTGCAAACTCTAAACAGTATACAATAATATACTAGTACATTATATAACAGTATATAATAAAGAACATTATATTCAAGATTTCAATAAATCAAAATTTTAATAAAGAGAGAGAGAGAGAGAGAGAGAGAGAGAATTTAGCAAACTCTAAACAGTATACAATAATATACTAGTACATTATGTAACAGTATATAATAAATTACATTATATTCAAGATTTCAATAAATCAAAATTTTAATAAAAGAGAGAGAGAATTTTGCAAACTCTAAACAGTATACAATAATATACTAGTACATTATATAACAGTATATAATAAAGAACATTATATTCAAGATTTCAATAAATCAAAATTTTAATAAAGAGAGAGAGAGAGAGAGAGAGAGAGAGAATTTAGCAAACTCTAAACAGTATACAATAATATACTAGTACATTATGTAACAGTATATAATAAATTACATTATATTCAAGATTTCAATAAATCAAAATTTTAATAAAAGAGAGAGAGAATTTTGCAAACTCTAAACAGTATACAATAATATACTAGTACATTATATAACAGTATATAATAAAGAACATTATATTCAAGATTTCAATAAATCAAAATTTTAATAAAGAGAGAGAGAGAGAGAGAGAGAGAGAGAATTTAGCAAACTCTAAACAGTATACAATAATATACTAGTACATTATGTAACAGTATATAATAAATTACATTATATTCAAGATTTCAATAAATCAAAATTTTAATAAAAGAGAGAGAGAATTTTGCAAACTCTAAACAGTATACAATAATATACTAGTACATTATATAACAGTATATAATAAAGAACATTATATTCAAGATTTCAATAAATCAAAATTTTAATAAAGAGAGAGAGAGAGAGAGAGAGAGAGAGAATTTAGCAAACTCTAAACAGTATACAATAATATACTAGTACATTATGTAACAGTATATAATAAATTACATTATATTCAAGATTTCAATAAATCAAAATTTTAATAAAAGAGAGAGAGAATTTTGCAAACTCTAAACAGTATACAATAATATACTAGTACATTATATAACAGTATATAATAAAGAACATTATATTCAAGATTTCAATAAATCAAAATTTTAATAAAGAGAGAGAGAGAGAGAGAGAGAGAGAGAATTTAGCAAACTCTAAACAGTATACAATAATATACTAGTACATTATGTAACAGTATATAATAAATTACATTATATTCAAGATTTCAATAAATCAAAATTTTAATAAAAGAGAGAGAGAATTTTGCAAACTCTAAACAGTATACAATAATATACTAGTACATTATATAACAGTATATAATAAAGAACATTATATTC